ATATATATATATATATATATATATATATATATATATATATATATATATATATATATATATATATACCAGTATATATATATACCAGTATATATATATACCAGAATGCAGGCCTCGAATTTCCCTGAAATCAATCGACGGCAATGGCGTTAAAAATTGCCGTTGAACGCGCGGCTGTCTACGGCAATTTTGGAAGTTTCCACGGCATTTTTTCAAAATAATAAAAATTTAGTTTATTGTTACTTTGGATTGTTGACAAGCTACAAAAGACTAAAATAGTAATTTACGCATGATTTGATCAACATCTGAATTCAAGTATCAAAATAGCAATGCACAGTGAGCAGTATAAAAATTACACTATACGGCAAAAAATTGCCGTCGTTGCCGCAATAATCAACGGCATTTTGTTCTCCCTCTACGGCAATTGCCGCGATTGCCGCGATAAAATTCAAACCCTGCCAGAATGATGAATAAAAAGCTGGATATTGGCTAGATAATTTTGTCAGAACAACCCACTTGCATTAGTACGAAAAATAACTTAACAGCTACAATAATCAGACCAATGGCACACAATTTACAAAACTAAACTTGTGATTAAACCTTTACTCAAACCGATATTCTCCCACAACACAAATTGTTTTTGTGTGGGTATCATATGTTGTGTTAAAACATTCTCTACTATTCAGTGGTCTTCAATATATGATGGACTCTTTGCTAGCTTTGCTACAGTAATGCATGTTCCTCGAATAGTTTGTGTATGTTACTCAACAGTTGACATTCGCTAGGGGTGCACCGGAACCAATTTTTAAAGTTCCGGCCGAAACCGGATCTGTCCGGAACTGTTCGGGCTTGAACCGGAACTGATTCATTAAGTGATATATGGTCATATGTTACTTTGTCTGCTGCCAGACAGACACTTTCAGTCATCAAGGAGAGAGCACGTTAATAGTGTACATTTATCTTGTGTAGTCCAAATTTCTTCCTATGCTATTCAATGAATAAACTTGATATTCTATCTCTCTGAAAAGGACAAAGTTCTGGTTCTGGCCATGGTTTTTTTATTAGTTCCGACCGGAACCAGAACTATGAAAAATCAGGGTTCCGGCCGGAACAATGTTCCAGTGCACCCCTAACATTGGCAGTGTAAACAACAAGTAACAGAACTTTTGCTTCATATATGATTACAATAAAGTTTTGAAACTTCATGGTTTGACAAGTGACAGTTTACTAAATAGCTGGCTGTTGGCTGTATAGACACTTCAAATATTGTTTCCATGAAATTTTTATTTCTTGACTGCATAATTATGTTACAATCATAATCACATAAAATTAATTACATTTTCTTGGCGGGGGGAGGGCAGTTGTCCTTGCTGCCCTCTGCTAAAGTCTTATTTGCTATTATATTATAATAATAAGTGATGAAATATTTCAATTGTCCCATGTCATCTTCATTATTCAGTTCCTTTCAAGGAAATACAAAATGTGAATCAACTGAGTTTTTTCACAGATACATGTACGCTTTGCATACCTATTTTTTAAAACGCACCTTGTCTTACTATTTTGTAAAGCTATTTTATTCTTATTTAATACAAACGTCCATGATCGCTAGAAATACTACCCCCCCCCTAGTACGATGTCGGTTCAACTCATAATTCTAATCTTGGTCGACCCGGCACAAGCCAACATTTTAAAGTGGTGGGGGGGGGGGGGATTTCCTTAATCTACGAATTAATTTCCATGATTGTAGTTATACGCGCTGTTTTAGATAAATATTTTTATCGCGTTACTTGTCCACATCCTCGATCGAAATTCCCCATACCGGATATGTCGTCAGAAGAGACTACAATGTGTATAAAAGAAAGGTCATCGAACTTCAGCGCACTATTGTACGTGAATTACTCGGCGTATGTACAAAATGTTTTCATATTAGCAAAGATCAGGCTTTTATAGCCTAGCTATTAAATAACATGTTTTTCATGCCAAATGGAGAAAAAATAAGCAAGTACGAGTCCGATAAAAAATGTTCAGAGTTACTGCATGTTACAAGCGCACTAAATAACAACCTAAAAAATGTACTGTACTGGCTGACCGTAAATAAACTCAGTTTAAATACTAAGAAAACCTCCATTTAAATAATTTAAATACAGATCCTCCAATCTATCTCGGCACAGAAAAAATCAAACGAGTTAAAACGATTAAATCATTGGGTCTAATGTTAGATGAGACGTTAAGTTGGAAATCTTGGAATGAATTACAGAGGTTTGAATGTACTAAAAAGAGTAAGAGAATTCTTGGACCTTGAAACCTTACTAATTGCTTATAAAATATTAGTGCGACCTTACTTTGAATATTGTTCACAGCTATGGGGCGGCCTCGGCTCGACTACATGCAGCGTTTACAAAACAGAGCTGCGCGCCATTATCACTAAGTGTGGATATGATGTCCGCTCCTGTGTTCTTCTACAACACCTAATCCTTAATAATCTGGAGACTCGTAGGAACCGGCAACTTGCTACACTAATGTTTAAAGTCAGAAATTCAATGGTTCCTCGCTCCATATCTAATTTATTTCAAAGAACCGATGCATGGGCGTACACAATAACGAAACGAGACAGGTGCAAAACGATTTTCCACCTAAACCAAACCTGGCTAATTTCAAGAAAAAAGATTTAGTTACAGTATCAAACTATCCAATCTTTCAAAAATAAGTTTTAATTGAAATGAAAGTTGATACAGCTTATATTGGAATATCACTCTTTTTGTTTTCTCTCTGTATATCACTATATAGTTAGTTTTATATATTGTGAAATAGTTCCATATTGAAATATAATAAAGTAGTAATAATGATAATAAAAGCCTAATCTTTCCGAATATGAAAAATCTCGTTCATACGCAGAGTAATTCAGATGCAATAGCGCGCTGAAGTTCGATTACCTTTTTTTTATACATATTTACATTATACCATATGTTGAATGAATTGAAATTAGTCCTTCCCGCTTTGTGTAACGAATAAAACAGTGGCAGTTATTTGATTTGATCTACAGTTGGTTAATTAACCCGTTTAGCTCATTACTTGCTCGTTAACATTTTTTAAATAACATCGAAATAATTTGCAATCGTTATTGGTCGAGCCTTAGTCATGTAGTCCGGGACCGCGAACCCAGACGTAATTTCCCACGCTCATTCTTTGCACGGAAAGTAGCAAAAAATGAGCGTGGGAAATGACGTTTGAGTTCGCACACTATGGTCACGTAGACCAGAATAATTTGAAACTCAACATTGCACCAATTGTGCCGTTCGTGTTCATGCATGAAACCAACTGATCGAATTCGAGCATAGATGATACATAAACGGACGAGTTTGCGTATGATTCCTAATTTGAGCGACATGGTGTGGAAGCTAATAACACAAAAACAAAAGAAATAATTCACTTTCTTTACCATCCCATATCAACTTGTTTATTTCATTATATTATATTGCTTTGTCAACATTGCGCCCACGTTCAGGGTTAACAGCGTCCGTTCTTGGTTGACCGAGGGATTTGACGCGGCGACGCTCGCTTCCGATTTAACCAGACTTCCGGTTAAAAGATTTTCACCGCATACACGCCAAACCCGAGCAGAGATAAGATATTGTTGTATTAATCTTGGTTAAATAGCCGTGCGTTTCTGACATACAGGTCCTGTTTAATAGTCGTAGTGATCATTGAATGCTCGCGCAAGTTGTGTTGGTTATACAAGGCGTAATTCACAAAGAGCAATGAATGGTTTGGGGAAAAATTGCCTACTTCTCTGCGTTGCGGTGTGTTATTTCAAATTGTGTTGGACTAAATTTAATTATGAGGATGAGTCACTGCGCCAAGGTAGAAAGAGACTCCTTTTTTATGATTGTTTAAAGTGAGTTGTAAATTATGAAAATAATGTCTAGGCTGTGAAATCACGCGAGAAGCCAACAAATTCGGATTTATTTTACTTTGTGTGAAAGTGCTTTATAATTTTACTTATTATTGGCACTTCTGAGTGTATTATGTACACATTATATTAGTATTAAACGTGTTATATGTTTTGATTATTTTCTAGGGACAACTTTATTTGCTGGAGTTAGCCATATTCATGTTACTAGATTTTTAGCAGATACTGTAATAGCTGCTGTTAAATACATGTCCGCGTTAATATGATTTAACACTAGCACTATGGTTTACTAGAATTTGTACTGCTTGTACAGTATATCTGCGTCATAGCGTGACCCATCTAACGGATGACCAGACCATATTGAGAGTGTTTAAAGTTCGTAGACTGTCAAGAATATCAGCAAATACAACATGTGGTTCTATACTAATATGATATATTAACCTTTGTTGTAGGTCATGTGTCAAAAACAGATCGCAAGTATTTAACTAAAGGTATGTACAGACTACTGTGCAGTTTGTTTCGTTTCAGTATCGTGTCGATGTAGTTATGTTCCTATATATATATATATTATATAATATACTGTACATTTTGTACAATAAACTCATTTTGTTCCTAGCAATAGCACATAAATTGATAGGTTGTCCATTGTTCATTCATTCTTCATTCAGTATATACAATATATGTATTCATGGTATTACGTCGTCTAGACTAGTCGCGCAACTATCATCACTTTGCTTAACGCGCAACGAGCTGTATTGTCCGTTCATCAGGTACATGAAAACGCTGAACGCCTGTTTATTATCTAGTACATTCATCACGGGACAAATTTTGTAGAAAATATTAGCAATATAGAGGACGTAATAGAAATACTATTTTTCTATATTTGCCCAGGAGGTTTAATTTAAGCTGATTCAAAATAGAAATATTATGCTTCTTTAATATGCCCAAGACTCAATAGCCTGCGCGCAGACTATATCTGCGCGCAGGCTAAAGACTCAATTACAGTTTGAAGCTGATTCAAAATAGAACTCTCGTCATCTTTTCATGTATGCGAGCTAACTGCAACTTTCCATTAACGATTTAACGTTTCCTAAGTTTTGGTTCAAGTTAAATGTAGCTATGCGGGAAATATAGAAAGAAACGTTTTTCTATATTTTGAGGTAGTTAGTTAGTTCCTTTAGCCTTGAATATTGCATGTTCAACGCGACCTATACACTGGAGCATTTGAGATATTGAACTCTTTCCCACGGCGCCAGAGCCCACAACCAAATAATAAATATAACATTTTATTTCAAAAATCTAGTAAAATGGTTTTGGTGAAGATTTGGATTGATGTTGGACACATACATGTAGATGTAGCCATTATAATAACAGAGAAAGTATTTTAATTTGTTCAGCTAGAAAGGCTTCGTTTATTAAATTGGGATATGTAAACATGCATGCACACAACTTCACAAGAATATTTTGTTTATTTTTAAAACGCCTCATTATCGTCAAATAAAGCAAAATCATGAATTGCAAACGCACAACAATCATCGGATTAAATGGATTCGGATCAAACTGAGAATTTTATTGGTCAGTTAAAATATATACAAAACAATTATATCAATAGTTTTCTTGGCTTCAATTTCCAATTGACCGTCATTGACAATTACATTGACCATTGAGAATTGTAGCTATAACAATGACATTTTCCAAAGTTGAACTAAATAACTTGTTTTAATTAATCTAGATCGAATAACATTAGTTTCATATGATATGAGGTATATCATTATCAGTTGAGTTAAGAAAATTTCGCTTTTCTGAACAATGTTGATAGCAACTTTGAGAAAAACAAGTGCATGTTTTATCAGTCTTCTAGCTGAAGTATTTGCCAAAAATATGGCGGTTTATCTGTATGTTGCCTTGCACAATTTTGAGATATATCTCGATAACGCTAGCAAACACACAATTACTGCAATTTATCACTATTATCAGTGACAGTGTTCTTTGAGTGAGAAATTACTAAATGAATCTAAAGAAAATAAAACTGAACTGCACTTCATCAAGACACTACGATGAAGCCGGAAGCCAAAATACACTTAATATTATTAATACTTTAAGTCTTTATATTATTTAATTTGCTGTAGACTAGTGTATAGCCTGTAGGAGTTTGGGTTTTTCCTTTAGGCCTATATTGACTATTGTGACTATAACTACAAACCGCCCGTTTTCCTCAATTTAATTTTGGCGGCGTTATAATATTAGGCCATGTTTTGGCATGTTAATAATATAAAGTTGATATTGATATACAGTGGGCTTTAGATAAATCAATAAAAATCATAGCATGAGCCAAGATTTGGCTTAGTATTACTTTATAACAAGATTATGCATGACGTGCATATGAATTCAAGACGAACACGCCTTGAAAAAGTTCCGTTGAAGCCATCACGCACATCGGAAAAACATCCTAGATGAAATTGTTTTTTCCTGTTCGTAATTACTGTCTATACCCAATCTAAGACTACGCAATTATATTTGTTGTTGGTATATGTGGAATAATAAGATATTACAGACCAATTACACCACTGACGAATCGAAAACTAATCCGAGTTATGTACGTTTAATTTTCGCAGTAAAAAAGGGGTTAAATTCATTTTATTGTTAAGAAGAGTAAGGACATGGAGTATTAAATAATTCTAGAAACGGACCATTGATTGGAACGGAAGAGTGAGTGAATGGCCTGTTTGAATAACACCCGTAAATAGATGAGTTTATGCCAATGTTGTTGAAATAACATTCTTTACTGCTCTTTTTGCAAATATTTTAAAGTCTTTATTTTTTAAAGAACATGCAGATTTTAAATCTAGATCATATTTCCAAAGAGATTTGAAAATTAAGCAGTTTATAAACCAAATAGTTCAAGGTTGTTTCATGATATTTGGCCAACTTTGTGGCTTGTTTAACCGATCCTATAGATTATAAAAGTTGTTATATAGTTGAGTTCCTTGTGAGAACACTGAAATACTGTCAATGAGATGGTCATGATATTGATAGCATGCATGCAGTCACTGCGTAGCATGGATGAAGGAATACGAAGAAACATCTTTCGGAAATTCGGACTCTATCAAGGAATTTGTTTTCAAGTAATTTTGAACCAACGGCAACGGCATTTTATGTTACATTAATCATTATGCGGTATTGTTGTTTACTTGTTTTTGATTACCGCGAGATCAAATCGCTTGCCGTGTTCTGTTCTGCTTGTATATAAAACTGATATAGAACTTCGTTTATACACACTGTCACTGCGAATTGCGTTTCAGTTAGAGTTTAGAACTTTTTTATGATATGAAAGATGAAAACAGAACTTTTTTTAGGAAAGATAGAAGTAATTTGACAAGAAGATAATTTCAACATAGTTGTCATTATCACTTTTGCAAAACTTGGATTTGGCCCGACAAATGCTAGGAGTAATCATACCTTATTAGTTTTTGGAAGATATTTTCGTGACTGATGTCTAGTTTGTTGACATTATTGAAGCGTCATATTTGTTTTGGCCGGTTTTTTGACCAACAAAAATGTTGGATTGTTTGCACATAGATAACTCATAATCATAATATTATTTTCTGACAATAAAATGTAAAGCATGCTAAAATTAGTGTGCGACCCAAATTGTTTTTATCGGCATCAAGAAATGCAAACTAGCCTATGGCGTCTGACTAAAACTGTTTGATAAGTAATGACGGATGTTCTTTACAGAATAGAGAGATGCCGTTAATTGTTCAGTTCGTTTACTCATAGTTTACTCAAGTGGCGTTCTAGCGTTCCTAGCTGGGTTAATAAAACGCGGATACGGACGGACGGACAAATTACTGGATAAATTAAATATGGATAAATTACTTACAATTAAAATTGGATACATTCACTTTCAAAACGCCAATAAGTTCACTTGTTTCAAACGTATGATGTAAAATTATTTGACCTGCGTGGATATAGCTTATAAAGGGCAGAAAAACGTTTTTGGACCATCACTGTTAAATGACATTTAGCGAGAATATAAATAATTCGTCCGTCCGTCCGTATACGCGTTTTATCCTAACCCGTTGCTAGCTAGGATCTCTGGATGAAAGACATGTGATTATGCGTTGCATGTGAATTTAGTAAAAGAATTTCCGCTTTAAATGCTAAGTTTTGGTAATAATAATATTTATATACAGGATGAACACTAAAAACTGAATACATCGGGTACTCGACATATATATTTGCTGCATGGCTACAGCCAAACGTCATGAAAAAAACTTGCACGGTACTCGATAGCCAGATTCCCCACGCATTTTACAAACAACGTACAAAGAATTATACCTCAAACTCTATTCGATTGCCAAAAATCATCACCTTCATGATTACGCGTGCCTTTCACTGAACCAGATAGTATTTTAGGTTCGTGGAGTTTTTCGCAAAATTGAAAAATAATAAACATACAACAAATTGGCTTCAGAGATAAGCTGCACGAGTTTGCAATGCCTTTGGCAATGGAATCTTATCTACACGAGCCAGATAATTTTGAAAATACATAGATTCCCGTTAAGTTCCATTCATGATTGACATTCATAAAGTAGTACAAAGTGCTGATCATCAGATTTTAACTTGACTAAAAATGTTAAATGTATGCTTTATGCGTATGTGAACTTTAGACATGTTGCTTTCCTTCATTAAATTAGAGGCTTTTCACACATGCAGTCATTCACACATGCGCATGTGTATAACGTTTGTATTGGTGTTATTACTTGAAGCAAATTGTCTTATGCATCGTGTCTGGTATGTGTTTCATTTCCGGTATCTCGTTTTCAGGATTAACTCCTGAGGAGACAATGTTATCAACATAGTTCATCTGTTTTAGACGGCAAGGTCATCTTTGTATAGTATAATACTTTCCAATATATAATTCTACATCATATCAATTAAAATTGTTAGTAATGTCGATCACTAACAGATGATCCTGCTATATGAGTGTCTGGGCACATCCTGAAAATATAATAGGTTCCGTAAACAATACTGAACATATTATACAAACACAGCCGGTCATGAAGCAGAGAGATCAGCGGGAAAATATCATATAACATGCCAAACCCATCAGGGTATAAATCCTGCATGAACAAACTGCCAGGATATATTTGAATATAAGCCCAGCAAATGACTTTCAAATAAGGGATAACCGAAAAAATACATTTGCCTACATATAGGAAATAAGTTATATTATTTTAATTTTGTTCTGTATAATTTGAAAGTCATTTGTTGGGCTTGTATATATTTATCTTGAAATTGCTTTTTCCCGGCTGGCATGTCAATCGGTACTATTCGTAAATTAGAAACGTACTCTTGGCTAGACCTTAGTTATAAGGTGCACAATACGTCATAGCTGATTAGCGCACTATACAGTGTGTTGTGATATGTTGGATCTGGAAAAAATGAGTCAATCTTCTTGCTCTTGGGTTAAGATATCTTCTTTTTCATATCATTCTATTTTATATTTGTAGAGTAGATAAAAAAGATCCTTAGAGTGTCCTCCAGATGCTCCCAAACAATATCTGTTCGGGTACAACAACCACATACAGCGCAAAAATTAACCATTTTAATACAAAATTATCATAAAGTTTTACAAAATTTGCTTTGTTTATAAAAGTTATATTATGTATAGATTGCTAATTTGTCCTCCAGATGCATTTGAGTCCCAGGTTCCTATGCACAATGGACCGTTTGGAAAAAGGCCAAGTTCAATAGCCGTGTTTAGAGCCCAGGAAACTGGGACTCAGGAACAGTCCGTTGTTTAAAGGCCTATATCCTCAAAACTATTGCACTTATTAACTAACTTTTTACGCTCTTTTCAAATCCATAAAGATCCCACAAGTGATATAGGCACTTTAATAATGTACATAATTATTAATATTAATTTTGAACCAACATGCATGTATATCTATTTCTCAGTTCAAATCTAAAGTGCTAGAATATTGTCATTATGCAACATAACATGTATATGATGTGGATATTCCTGAGACTTTTAAAAGTGTATGTATAAAATGTCATTCTCTAGTCTTTTTAACAAAATGAGTTGTTAAATTTTTATACCAATTATTCATGCACCCTGCATTGGAGATATAAACTCTGTGGGGATTTACCTGTCCCTTATATCAAAGTTCGTAAATAAATAAATCATAAAATAAATTATTTTATCCAGGTGGGTTTTACCGTGGTTCCCGTCATTACTGGCCACTTGACTACGAAACTCAGGTGCGAGATGTAAGATATTCACGTGATGGACGACAAAGAGGAACTGGTGTGTCTATTACTGGCGAGGGGCGAGGATATTTATCTATTTCTGGCAATGTTAGTTGGGTTAGGTTGGGAAAATTCTTGCAAGAATGTGTATGCGATGCACGTTACTGTAAGAAAAATGGTATCAGTGTTGGACTTTGGGTAAAATTATCGAATGATGATAACGAGACAAAGATATTGCTTGGTAGTGACACTAGTGTAATATCAAACACCTCGGGGTTAGTGATATTTCAAACCACACGGGCTATAAATGGAACTCAAGAACGCTATATTTCTGCACTTGTATTTATGAAAAATCGCAAATGGAAGTGTAATTTCCCGGTGCAACCTGGGTCATGGTTTTATTTGACAGTCACGTGGTCAAATCGCTCTGGGCTGCGCATGTTCAAGAATGGTGTGTTAATGAGTGAACAAAGTAAATTCAAAAGAAAAGCTCGTGTATTTCGATATGGTGACGAAAAATGTGCAGTGACATTATCCCCGCCTACAGCTCAAGGAACTACACTGAATGCTGATTATGATGACTTGGTTATATGGTATTATGAGCTCAATAAAACTTTCATGTATCAAGTGTACAGAAACTCAATCGGTAAGAATTTTTTAAACACTGCAGAAAGAAATGAGAAAGGTCAATGCTAGTAAAGAGCATATTTCATACAGCTCAGCCAATCAATTGTGATTGGCTTCCAAATTAACACCTGTCAAATATTTTTTGACAAATCGTTTGATGTTTCACGTTAATAGCTTGTTATCTGTTATCTGTTATATGTAAACGTGAATATTGTGAAAGGCTTGCTAGTTTGTTAGTAAGTTGTTGCTCACTGAAAAAAGTGAGCTGATTTTAGTAAAATTATGCTCATGCCTTCGTATATCAATTATCCAGACTTCCTACATGCAGGCAGATATACTTTTCTAAGATCTAAAACTCTTTGTTTGGTTGTTTTGTTCAATTTGCTGCTTATTGATATATCTTTGTCCAATACCAAGACGATTTAACTCTTCTTTCAATATTAGTGAGCTTAAGCAAGCGACGTTTTTGTCAACACGGACGTCACCCGCAAATTGGTACAACTCATTTTGGCGCCATTTTGCATCATCGCGCTCGTGTAAGGAAGCAAAAAACTTTGAAAATCTTTTGTTTTGTCATATGTGTTGAAGATTACCACAAACTAATACAAACATAGTTTTTAATCCAGTCTCCCTTCGGCAATTTGATGTCCGTGTTGGCAAGCTTGCTATCATTAAATGCATGAGAGATACGTCGACACAAGTACATCGGACAACTTCACACGATTCCGACCGACACGATCAACTGGAATTGATACATGTCTTCTAACCACGATTTTTTTAACAGATCTTCCCAAGATTGTAGATTGTAAAACAAACGGAACATCTTTAGATATTGTTATCGAAGATAAATATCAAATTTATGATGTGAAAAGAGATTTCAAAATAACTTGGTGGAGGAGCGGGGGAGATCAAAGAGAGACACGTTTCGCAAAAGGTCTCAGTTTTAGTATTCCTGGACTAGGTGAGTAAAAGGAAGAAATACTTATAACTATTGCCTATTTAAGATATAGAAAACATTCCATAGAGTTAAATGCCCATAGGAGTTGGTATGGAGGGAACGAGAAATATTCAGTGGAAAACGACCCCGAAGGCCAGTTTTCCACATTATTTTGGAGCTTCTCCATTTAAGCTAAGAATTCCCTTTTTGTCTTGTGGTTTCTTAATTTGGTTGTCAAAACTAATATTATCATACATGTGATGCTTGTGATGTTACTCTGAGTGTATATCCACACCGGGCAAGCTGGCCACGGTGGGAATCGAACCTACGACCTTTGGAATAACATCACAAGCATCATATTCACCTGAGTGTATTATACCAACACAGAAAAAATATATCATTTCAACTACCGCGCGTGTTAAGGTTACTTCACATGATGAACATGCGTTGTAGTCTATTGAAAATGGCGCAACGAATTTTAGATGTATCTTTACCAAATTTTTAGTGAAGAAAGCCAATAAAATGCTGATTTCGAAAATCTTCATTTGATGGGTGTTCTGTTTAAACATGTCCAGTATTGGCTGACTAAAGAGATACATAAGTATCCCATAAAAAAAATCAAAATATATTTATAGTTTACCTCAACGTTTGTCTACATATATCGATTTGAATCTTCATAGGTACGGTAAAAAAAAAACGTGTGCGGAAAATTTCTCTTCTTCAATGGTTTTTCTGACATGACGTTTTCTTTGATAACTTCGTGAATTATCACGTGACAAATCCAAGAATCAGGGCATATCAGAAAAACCACTAAAGAAGAGAAATTTTCCGCATACGTTTTTTTTACCATGCCTATGAAGATTTGAATTGCGATATCTAGACAACCGTTGAGGTAAACTATAAACATATTTTGATTTTTTTATGAAGGTACCTACATATTTACTCAGTCAGCCAATACTGAAAATGTTTAAACAGAACACCAATCAAATGAAAATTTTCGAAATTAGCATTTTCCTGGCTTTCTTCACTGAAAATTTGGTAAAGTTACACCTAAAATTCGTTGAGCAATGTCCAATAGACTAAAATGCACGTTCATCGTGTGAAGTAACCTTAAAATTGTTTTGTTTACGTTTCGAAAATCACAATCAAAATCTGCGAGACTAGAGGAAATTGTTGAAGAATTTTATTGATGGAAATTTTGAGTGTATATGTTATGCATTGATTAGACCAGATTCCGGTCCAGCGCTCTAACCAGCTGAGCTACAGAGGCCAGTTGTCGAGCTCTATAAACCGCAAGTTCATGTATTATTACTAAAGTGATGCCAATGCGAGGTATATTGATAAATATCTGTTATAGAAACACGTTTCTCGACCAATAAACGCTTGCGTTACCATGAATGTTATATTATAAATAGTTGCAGATACATTTTGGAACTCAGGTAATATGTGTCCTGCCATACATGCACTAGAAAATAAAATACATATGTTTCCACCATCACGTACATTCACCATATGTACACATGTACTATCACGTACATTACCAGCTTAGAGTAATTAGAAGCAGGTGTTGGTCAATCAGCAGTTATAAAGAAATTTAGTTCTATAATTATATGCTTCAACCATAATATGTCGCGTGAAGAGGCTTTACACCTGATAAAACTCATCTTACAAAGAATAATAATGAGACTATTGTAGTCGTAAGCTTTTTAAAACACTTGTAGTCGTGTTTTATCAAGTGTGTTAAATAGTACTTATTCCTATAAATGTCAACATTCGTAAAGTTGAGCTCCATCTCTTGCCTGGCTAGAATTTTTTTTTTAAAACAGACCAAAAAATACAAGTAGTAATGCGTGAAATACTGCTAACGCAATCACTTTCTCTCTTCTACTGTTCTAGTTCAAGATTCAGAATACATCGTAGAAATCCAACGTAGAATGTTTGTATCTGCATCGTCAAAGCAGACACTTGTGGCTGTGCTCTCGAAACCATCAAAATCTACATGCAGTACTAAACCTTATGGTATGGTATGGGTCAAGTCTTTGTTTTAATGATATATATGTATTATTGATTTATGATTAGCAATAATGTCATTTATTATGAATTTGCAGCACTAGACACGTGCTTGTGGTAGCATAGTCAAAGGAGATAGCTACATGATGCAACTAATTATCTCCTTTGCTGAACATTGTACAAAGATTCCTACACTGTAATCCCACGTTTCTGATACCATCCATGTTTATCGTCAAGGTGAATGAGAAGAGAAACAAAGCTATTTTCTTATTAATAAGGGCCTTCGCTTCAGGTAGTTGAATCCCTATATCCATCTACAGTTCTCTGAGAAAGAAAGGAAGTATCTCATCGAAAGGGTTGGGTGCTAATTTTTTTCACCCTCAGATTGGTTTTTCTTTTGTATTAACCCCAGGTATAAATGCAGTCAAGTACCCCAACCCACTGTAATACATCTTTCAAAACATAACGGTAAACTGAAAAGGGTGTTATCGCTTTCTTAATCCTAGTTAACTGGTGAGAAGTTGATAACTTTTTTTCAAGATTTACAATAGAGACCAAATGAATAAGGTTGTTATACGTACGTGTTCTTTACTTAGCGGCAACCAGAGGTAACGAGAGTGCATATGCCAGTCCAGGACTGATGCTTTCGCGGGGAGGGTGGGGGGGGGGGTAGTTGAAAGTTCGCTCGAACTTTTATGGATGGTTGTAATGAAATAACCTGAATTTAACATTGATACAGTATATTCTAATAAATCTGTCCAAATTTTCTTGTTTTTTCCTAGCATTTGCCCGAATTTCCATATTTTTTATGTGGTTTATGCGCCTATGCCAGAGCGCACAAACTACACGTCCACTTATATTTCCAATTTAGTACCAACCAGACCAAAGAAGTTCAAAGTACGAGAAAAAGCTGGGGAATATTTGATGCTACAATGGCAATCTCCAGATATTATATATGGTTCAATACTAGGTTATAAGGTGAGCGAAGCGCCAAAGCATGCATAATCAAGCAAGACAGTATCCCGGTCAAACGAGGATGAGAGTTGATGAGGTTTGGCAATTGCGCATTGTTATGGGGACATTTTAAGCTGAGAGTAGGATGTTCGTCATGTTCCAACTATGTTTTAACTTCAATAGAATACAATGATATTAAGAACAGGGCGCCCAAGGGCTGCGGAGCCGGTGGCAATGGGGGCATGTGGCCCACACTTTTTCAAAAGTGAAAAAAAGTCCTCTTTTCACGCCCTCTTTTGCTGAGAAGAAAGTGCCCTTTTTGCAGTATTAAAGACTCTGTAACGGCCATTTCCGACGTTATATTGACTCCATATTTTCAAAACTTTTCGTTCGGCTCGTGAACGACATAAAATCGTTTGATTTTGGTCATATACAAAAGTGCCCATTTTGGCCAATGCCCCTTCACTTTCGAAATGTCACGTGACTGCCAACTTTCATTATCTCTCATCCTCGTTTGGTCTGGGCTAAAGTAATGCATGTATTTGAAAACAACGTCCCATTTTCTACATGGTGTACTGAAGAAGACAACAAAAGAAGAAAATATTTACAACAATACACCGATCTACCTTTTGCTTACTTTGAATTTCTACGAAAATGATGTGGTTAAATTGCAGAAATGTATCCATCTGCAAAATGGAGGTCTAGCTATGTTTAAGCAAAGTGTAAATGTTAAATACTGAACTCAGCATTTGAAAATAACATTTCGTATGAAAAAGTAAATCCTTAAAGAGCCTTTTTCGTGATATTCACTATTATTTGCGGAGCAGTAGGGTCTACTGGCAGCGGAAATATTTTTGTCCTTGGTCAACCTCTTATGAAAAACTAGTTTCATATTAATTTTGACACTGCAGAGCATAACGAAGAATTCATTGTCTCGAGCGGCATTCGAAATCGAGCGGGATCAGAATTTAAAGCGTTAGGTCGTTGCAAAAATATTTTGTGCACTTAAATTGGGTAAGACGCCCAATCCCCGTTGACTCGATAGCTGAATGGGTAGAACGGCGGTCTAGAAACCCGAAGATGCGACTTCGAATCTCGCTCGAGACGACGAATTTTTCGTTGAACGCCGCAGTGTTAGAACAATATTCATATCTCTACCAAATTATTATTATTTCTATAATCTTTTATTGTTTAGATTTCCTACCGCGTTGATGACTTCAAAACCCCCGTGGAATGGAAAGACACATTCAGAACAAATGTAAAAACAGCGCATTTGAACAATCTTAAACCTTTTACGGATTATATTATAAAACTTTCATGCCGGAATGAAAATGGGAGCAGCAAGGCAATTACACTTCGAGCCACTACTGCAGAAGGAGGTATGACCATTAAGTATAAGTTGTTAGAAGAATAGATTTTGTTGTTCTCACGCTTTTCGCCTCAAAAAGAGCTACCTTTGATTTGCCCAACGATTTGTTGAAACTATATTCATTGCTGGCAGCAGGGTCATGTAGCTAGGATTTCAAATTTTAGGTGTGTTTCTAAATTTTTAGAGTGTGTTTCTTCAATTACTCAGAATAGTCTTTAATGCCGCCGACATGTGCTCATACATTTAACAACGCCGACATACGCTCATACTTGGCATGTTTATAAAGACAGCGTTTGGGTAATTTAAAGTCTATACTTCTACACACATACGGTTGGGATCACGTGTACATCGATTAGTTTAGCAATTTCCACATATTAGATTTTACAAACTTTCTTAACGACATAAATAGCAGCAAATTCCATCTGTTCTAAATAGCAATCCACACGGCTTTATATAGATAATCAAACCGTATTCGCCGTATTTTTTCAGTTTTAGCCGCAGTAATACGACCAACACGGCTTTCTATAGCTAATTAAGACCCTGCCTGGCAGCATTCATGCAGTATATATCTCTGACTTCTCCTAATGTTCATTTTTCCTTTCCCTTTTTTCTAGTTCCCACTCGCCCACGAAGATTTAAAGTGAAATTGAAGGGAGAGGCGGTTGTGATAAAATGGCGGGAACCAGAAAAATTGAATGGACTGGTACATTATAGGTTGTTTGCCCTGGTTAATGGTACTAAGAGAACAATATGTAGTGCTTGTGGTGAATGGTATAAATTGGAGGACGTTGAACAATACACAAACTATACGTTCTGGGTGATTGCGTATAATACCAATAATGATCCTCGTTATGAAAGTGGACCATCGGAAAATGCCACGATCATTACGCCTTCATATAGTAAGTATTAGATCGCTTTATTCTCGATAACAACTACATTGTACTGCTGTGGGAATACACGATGCATTATGTGTGCATCAATCGGGTTATCTTTTCGTGTCAACATCGCCAGGTTATTGGTAGTGACAATAACAAAGTGAAAAATCTTGCTCTTGTGAGAAATGAATTCGACGTAAACACGTGAGTGGCGTGAATACTAATTCGGCTTTGCTATTTACATCCGGGCATACAATTAAAAATGCGAAGTTATATTAAGTTGTTGTTATGCAGCTATAGCCTAGAGCACCACTGATCGTAAAAATCTTGTACACCAACAAGAATGGAAGATAATAATATAACGTATTTTCTTTCTATAATTTATTTGGAAGTTTTGATTTGGTCTAGGAACACTTTCGCGGGTTCTGAGTCTCTATCCGGCTTGCAGTGATGAGGGAATGGAGGTGTGTCGCTCTCAACCTTCCACTTCAAGACCAATTTTACGGTGATTCCCAATCTTCTGAAAAGAAACTATTGCAAAAGTGCAAAGCAAATTAAATATTCGTGGAACCCCACCCCGTTTCCTTCCCACCCCACTCAGTTGATACTGGACTGGCCACTACTTGTGAACTTTAAGTTTTTCTTGGCAGATATATATTTTCGCTTTATTTCTCATACAAAATTAGCAGTACAAGTTGTCCAATGTTTGGTGCATTGTATCATTAAAGGTAGTTAAGTAACAAAAATAAGGAGTTTAACTTTAACATTCGCATATTAGGATAGATTCTCAAGCCGATTTATTTCTTCTCAATTAGCTCCCACTTCTCCCAGAAATCTCACTGTCAGTTTTACACAAAGTGGTATCAATGTTCTATGGGAAAGGTCGAGTGATCCGAGAGGAAGAATAGAGTACAAGTTACTTGGTTTTGTCAATGCCAGTAAACGAATATTTTGTGATGAATGTGGTCTACATTATTTGATGGAAGATGTTGGAAGATATACTGTATATACATTCTGGGTTGTGGCATATAACGTTCATAAAGGTTATGAAAGTCAATCGACTGACAAAGTTACGATTGATACTGCATCTTATGGTAAGTGTGATTTTATAACGTCTCTTATAAAATAGTAAAATACCGTCCATTTCCAACGATTGTTATAAACATGACATAGTGTATGCTCTTGTTTAACCTTCATGTTTGCCTAAATTACCGCAAATTCTCTACTAAGCCGCTCCCTTAAGTAATACGCCCTCGCTTTTATAATTAGCGAACCAAGTCCCTTTCTCCCAGCGAGGATATATCTATTGTATATACTGATTTTATTAGCACGTATGCCACGGAAGCCGTAATCCCGTAATCTATTACGATTTTTTCTTTTGAACGTTTCGGCTAACTAATACAGTGACTGCATGTAAGTTCAAACCCCTCTGCAATAAGTCATCTCGTAGTAAAGATGTAAATAGTAAAGCTCTGTGTTTGTTTTTACTGAGTAAGTTATTATTTGATTGGATGGTTATGACAGCAGTGTGCACAGAAATGATTTCGCATGTGAGAATTTTTCACAATCGCTGTTACGGGAATATCAATAACTATCATTCTGTTCCTACTTTTAGTACCCACAATCCCCGGCGAATTAAGAGTCAACGTAATATTAGAAGGTATTTTGATATCGTGGAATAAGTCACATGTACCACATGGCAGTATACGCTATCAACTCATGGGGCTGGAAAATGGCTTGAAGAGAGAGTTTTGTTCCGATTGTGGATTGAGATACTTGATAAATAAAACTAAACCAAACATGAATTATTCTTTTTGGGTTGTTGCCCACAATATTCAAAATGGTTATGAAAGTCTACCAAGTTCTGTTGTTCGTTTCTACACCGTTCGTATTAGTAAGTACTTCATTCATTGCTCAGAAAGAAGAATCTATGGGTGGCACAGTAGTTAATGCTCTACACCTCTGGGGTTTGAATTATTGCTCCATTTAACAATTGCCTTTTTGCCCAAAACAATGATGTTGCTTCGCTCTTCAAGGACCACGATGTTCTTCAGTGACTCTGACTCTATTATAAGGACAGCCAACAACTGAAATTCTAAGAAGAATAGTACAGAACTGACAGAGTCGAGAAAGGTTAATTTAGTTTAACTTAACACAAACTAAAGGTTAATTTAGTCTGTATTAAGTTGTAATGAGATAGTACTATGCAATTTTGACGAAGGGCCTTCGCTCGAAACGTCGAGTTTCTGCTTGAGGTAGTAATATAACTACTCAGCACAGCAATTTTAGTCAATGCCCTACTGTCTGTACTGTTGTTCCGAATGTATATCAGTGTTATATACAGTAACTTGTTCTGACAAGTCTTTTGTTGTGTGTATCACATCATTACTAAGTTGAGTCCATAACCTGATAAATTGCGAGATATATCACATGTCTTCATAGAAAGTCTTACAAATTTGATATTGCATGTTATAAGGTTTATAAACCAAGTAAATTGTTCTCTACTCATTTGCAGAACCGTCACCCCCTGAACATATCCTGGCGCCAGATGTTAGTGACTCAAGTGCTAAAATAGCGTGGACTCCTCCTGGAAAGTTGAGCGAAAAAGAAGAGATCATTGGTTATAAAGTTACGCTATATGATGCTTTCAGTGTACTTCAAATCAAGAAAACGCGAAGTCTTCAACTTAAATTTACTAATTTGACTCAATTCTCCAAGTATTACGTGACAGTAGAAGTGTTATCTAGGGTTGGATATGGGCCACCTTCTCAACAGCTCATCATACACACTAAAGGTTTGTTTAAACAACATTTCAACTTACATACATTGATTGGTTTACAAATAAAATAACTATTCTGTGACGTATTCAATTGATCGATCAACTAATATGACAACCCTCCAATTATCCCATTAAGTCAATCAAGTACTCAATCAATATATACAGTCATTCAAAAGATATTTAACGACCAGCAGTTCTACAAAGGCGTGCAGTTAAATCGCATACATGTCTCACTGAGTAGATACATTGAGATTCTTTTAGAAGGCAGTTATTGATACAAAACCTGGTTTCTATTCGATCGTAGCTATCGTGGCCAAATGTGTGAAATAATCTTGATCTTTCTTGAATTTGGTTGCTGTATGCGAATAAGTCTTATTGACATCGTGACTATTCTCCCTCCTCCGCAGAGGCTACGCTCCTTTGCCCAGCGGCTCCGATCGTGTTCCAAGATCCGCCATGTAAAGTGTAGTGAAATGTATCTCAATACTAATTGTAATCATAGCCAACAGAAGCTTCTGCGGAGAAGAGTGGTGACTGTTGGTATAGTAGAAGCCAAGCTGTTTGAGCACCTTTCTTGAACTTTAGCAAGCCATATAAATCTGAACGCGTAATAAAATCAATATGTTTTCAATACCCTAAAGTGACTTGTTTTATGTCCATCTACAGACGCAAATGAGTGTGCTATGAATGACGTACCATGCGGCGAACATGCGCAATGCATCAACTCCGCTGGCTCGTATTTTTGTTCCTGTGCATCTGGGTATGTTGGAGATGGAATCTTTTGTCAAGGTAAGGATATTTTTATTCGAGTTCTGTTCACATGGAAGCGGGTGAATTTGCAACCGCACACAAATTTGAACTATTTCACCTCCGCACGAATTCGCCTGCGCACGAAATCACTAATTCCAAATTCGTTCGTTCTCGTGTGTGTTGATGTAATGGGACATGCTTATAACGTCATCTTGCTAAAACATCAACAAACGAGTTATTCGTGAAAAGGAAACATAAAATTATGAAAAATTAATTCACGTATTAGTTTTCAGATAAATATTTGAATCAGGGTCGTAACTTGGGTCTATACATTAGGAGAATTAGAAAACGACTTGTATTGGATTAGCAATGGTTAGAACGTATTTTGCCCGATGTAATTTCTTGAATATTTGGTAAACTTGGCCAACAATATTGCCTTTCTCAAACATTGAGAGGGGGGGGGGGGGTCACCACCACCCATGCACCCATTATGAATAATGAATAGTTTTCTAAACTTGTGGGTTCACCATATATCGCAGTATTTAATGATCTGAGATTTATTGACACTGATCATGCTATCTAATCTTAATAGCAATAATATAATGTTTCATTACGTAATGTTTCATTACATGTTATTTTCAATCTTTGTATTTTTCAAAACCAGGTTTGCCCTCCGGAGTAAAAGAAGCAGATTTCTGTCCTGAGGAATCGGCAAGAAATACAACTTGGAAGAAAACTTATCGTGGACATACAGATAAAAAACTTTGTCCTAATGGAACAATAGGTAAAATGCTATTATATGTCGCTTCCTGGCAAACAGAATGCTTCACATCCATCAGTAATCTGGCTTAAGTTAATTCTCTCAAGAACTGAAGGCCACTCCTTGTCAGTGCAATACTACTGGGGGAAGGAAATGAAGTACCTGGAGAAAAGCTACATTTTTTGGTCAGGTCAAACTAGAAGCACCATTTCGCTGCATGTGTCGGAGACACCAGTATATTGCAGGAATTGAGCCAAATTCCCACTCGATAAGTGTCATATTATCGGCTAGTTAGTTATATGAGTTCATGATAACCAGATTACAGATACAGTAAAAAACTTGTTGTAAACTATCTTTTCCAGGCATTTCAACACGGGAATGTTTGAAAGGAAATGGCAGCAGGTCATACTGGTCAGATCCTAACTTGAGTAATTGTGTTTCTGCTTGGATGTCAGAAGTAGATGATAAGGTATAGTACAGCTTAGCAACGAAAATTGCGCTTTTGTTCAAGTCCAAGCACAGTGACGTTCTAGTTTTGTATATCCAAGCACAGTGACGTTCTAGTTTTGTGCGCAACATATGTAGAATAATTATTTTGGACTTTAACAGAGCTGACTTGGAACTTTTGTGCATAATATGCTCGTAGCGTTTCGTGTGATGTGCGATTAGATGAATGTATCGTGTTATCTATATCAGACGATAAAACTTATATTCGTGCACAGTGGAATATTTCATTGTGATGGATGTCATTGTATCTTTCAATTTTTTTCTATAGCTTGCAGATCGAACATTAAATTCAACTGCTGTTGGAGATTTCTTCCTGAAGTTACTCGACAACAATGACGGTAGAGGTTTATATGGAGGAGATATTATAAAGTCGGTGAATGTGATTGACCTTTTGTACAACAAAAGTAAAGATAATGAACTTGATAAAGAAAAATCCAATCCCAAAGTTGCTGAAACTTTACTTATGGTAAGTTTATTAATGCTAATCATTTAATTAAATAGCTAAACCACCATGAAAACTATACACTCATTGGTTTTATACTCCTTATATTATATTTTTAGAACTTGATCAATATAACGGAAAAGATTATTTCACCTGAGAAATTGAAAGTTTGGACTGACATACCGAAGGTGGGTTTCATCAACCATTTCACTGAACTAAACATCATAATTACTGTGACGTCCCATGGTGAATAGTACTGAATTGTTATTTCAAGACATCCATTTTAGGTAGCTGGTAGCGGAAGATAAGCGAAAGTAAAAAGTATTCATGAATTTCTTCTCTTCAAATATATTCGTGAATTGTTTTCATGAGATAGATATTGGTCCCAGAACCTTTCGAGTTAAATAGACTGCCATTTAGCTATAAAAATGGATATAATGTATGTATATTTTATTGTTAGTGTAGAAAACAGTTAAGAGTTTATTTTTAATGTTATTTTATTCAGGGGCGAAGAACTGAGCACAGTGTTAAAATAATGGATGGTTTAGATAACGCTGTTTTGAAATCAGCAAAGATTGTTAAATTTTCTTCCATTCAGAATGAACACATCAGTAAGTGTTCAATTTTAATCATTTACATGGCTTTACGTGATTTTCTCTCCTTTTGTGATATTTTTACTGTTAGACCAAAGAAGAAAAAATTTGGAGGTTTTGTTCTCAAGCACTGTGTGGTGCTCAGGAATTTTCTCTGAACTTTGATTACTATACTAGCAAAAGAAACAAAGGATTACTACTAAATCAAGCTCTTCAAACAAAATAATATAGCAACAAATAAAATAGAAGAATGTACCAAAAATATGGGAGATCTGTAACGTTGCGGCAACATAACACGATGCTGCATTAAAAATACATAAAAAACATTTGTTGTAATTTGTTGTAACAGACGTTCGATATGGAAAAGTATCAAGCTTTAAACTGAGAAACAACATGTCGTCTTTGGAAAGAGACCTGGATGATATGGAAAGTATCAAATTACCACAGCGAGAGAAAGACAAGGATATTGAAGGTCATTATTTTAAGGCATTGTTAACATGGCTCAGGATACTAGATAATTCTGATCTTACATCATACTCTGCTTATGGTGTTGCTGGCACAGTGGTTAATGCTCTTCACCTCGGCGTCTAGGGTTCGACTCCCACAGTATGCAGTTATCAAATTATATAAAATTTTACATTTTGCCTGAATCCCATGTAAATGACCAGGGATATTGCTATAAATAGACCTTATGCATAATGACATCACAAAGCTTGGAATGTTGGTCTTAGTAGTCATCGCCTGGGAGAATTTCTATAGTGGCCATTTTGAAGTGTTTAATTTTCCCTGGCGAGGACTATTAAGACCAACATTCCTCGTGGGCATCAAGCCTTGTGACGTCATTATGCATAAGGTCTATTGATACTTCATTTCGATCTTGCATATCATGCGATATTTATTCTTGATTTTCATTTCACTTTTTAATTATTATTTGCATTAGATCGAGTTGTGGCAATCATCAAGTACAACACTATTGCTGAGGTTTTGTCTGCTGGAGGTAAAGAATCAAAGTGAGTTTTTTATTTCACTTTAAACTGTCTGTGCCAGTGTATAGGTAGAGTCAATAATATCGAAAATTCGGTTAATAGGGATGCAACCACCAGAACAATAGGGAGAACTTCTTGCGAAAGCCCTTCGTTGGAAAGTTAATTTGTGGTTACTATAGAAACGTTTTTCAGGTAGTTGCATCCTTTAATTTTACTTTCTTGCAATAGATGATAACGAATGTCTATTAACATATTTTAGTGATGAAGGTGTTGTCAATTCCGCTGTTCTCTCTATCTCGATGAACCCACCGTTATCTACACCATTTCAAAAACCACTGGAATTTAAATTAAGTAATCAGAAGGTTGGTTGACATACCTATGCGAAGATTTATCGCAACAATATTTTTTTATAAACATTGCCATATTTAAATTTGAATTGATGAAGATCAATTAATAGACTGTTCTGTAGCCTCAATTAGGTGCATATCAGTATTCATTATTATAATTGTTTTAAACAGTTTTTTTTCCTCTAGGATGGAAAATTTGACGAGCACGAATGTGTATTTCTCGACACTTCCAGGTATTTGTCTATCTGAAGTAATTAGCAATCATGACATTTATCATTAGTCAATCTAACAAAATGTCAATATATCACAGAACCACACGAAATATATTATTTTGGGTCAGCTATCACAGCACATTAACCTGCATAACTTCCACTGTGCACGTTGCTAAGTAACGTTTTGGCTTCATACATGTAAAATAATGCTATCATTTTGGTTGAAATTGAAAGGTATCCTGGATTCTGGTCAAAAAATGGCTGTAACGTTTTTAATGTCACAGATAACTTTACTGTTTGTCATTGTAATCATATGACAAGCTTCTCAGTTCTCATGCAAGTCAAACCAGCGGAATTATCGGTAAGTCAGCCTGTGTTATTTGAGTTTAAAAGATCCTGAATAATTAATGACCAATTTATTAAGGTGGAAAGGATAAAGAATAATAAATACAAAAGATAATTAGAAAATCATGAATTAAATACAAAAATAATAAGAATAGACGAAAAGTGTTTAACAATATAACATCGAAAGAAAAATCAACATTGCACACACATTGTATTTCGTGACAAAAACTCTATAGTGTAAACGAGTTGAAAATTGAAGGAACCTACTTAATTAAACGGTTTCCGCAGCATACCCCGTTGCCTGTTAGTTATTTTTCTTCCCTTTCACATTCTTTACTTTAACACAAACGTGGAAAGTAGTTTATAAACTTGCGAGTTATGCCGCCATTATGCCGGGACGAGCAACAATTTGTCACTTGTTGCCCGGCGGGATACATTTCATTTATCTAAAGCCATGTGACCACAAATCAGCCAATCACATTTGGTGTTCACCCTAGCTATGTAACAATGGGAATTATTGCTAAAAACCATCGGGTGCATGTAATAATTAACTATCGCTCGTATTGTAAAAGCACACTCAATGAGTGGAAGTTCAATCTGTGCTTCTCTCGAGTGTCAATGCTGTTTTTGAATAGCCGGAGGGCTAGTGTCATACTCCTTACTATGTGACTACTCACTCTCCAGCTGTTCAGAAACAGCATTGACGCTCAAGGGAAGCTCAGATTGAACCTCCACTCATTGAATGTAAGTGTGAGTGAGCTTTTAGAATACAGGCATATTTGTAAAAACACACAAGTTAACAAACACCTGCATGAGTTTTATTAGGTCTTGTTATGATTACTTAACAAATATATTTACACTCTTCAGTATTCAGATGAGTTGATTCTTAGCTGGATTACTCGTGTTGGTTTATATATTTCCTTGATCTCTCTTGGACTGGCATTTATCACCTTCGTGTTCCTACCGTGAGTGAACTACTGTGTAATTTGTATTTGCAGTTTTATACATAACTTGTATTTTGAAATATTTTAACAAGTTCTGTGTATTTGTTGTTCCAGGAGGCCATGTGGTTCTAAATCTGGTTCGCGATGTTTCAAGTTGTGCGAGCAAGGCTACCGGCCAACGTAAGTATTATATTCTTGTCTCTTGAACGGACTGTGCCGCCAGTGTCGGTAATGCCGATAATATTGGTAGGGATCGATATGGATACAACTACCTGAAAAAATACAAGGAGAATGTCGGTGTTTCGAGCCCTTCAGGCTACTAACTTCCCGACAAAGGGTATTCGTTCGAAACGTCGAAGTTCTCCTCGTATTTTTCAGGTAGTTGCATCCCTATCAATCCGAATATTTCTCAACGCACGTATTGCAGTAGTCTGATGAAATGCATTAAGTTGTCGGCGTGCATCTGCTAATTAGTATTTGGACTTCTTTACCAAAAACGTCTAACATAACTATGCTGATTAATTTAGAATTTTACTCATAAAAAATAAAGAAACACGAACATTATACGACTCGTGCCGCGGTCATAGGCCTAGTACGAGTAATTATACATTCCGTGATAGGAGGATTTTGCTTTCTCAATTGTGTAATTTTAATCGCCGTCTTGTTGGAGTAAAATTAAGTAATTTCTTTTGTTTAATATTTTCTTAGTTATTTAAAGAAAGTTCGATCAGGTATTCATGCGAATTTGATATTATCCTTGGCTCTTGCGGAGGCACTGTTCTTATGGGGTATTGAAAAGACACACCACAAGGTGAATATTAAAATATTTTATAACCTTGCTTTTGTATACAGAAGATTTGTAAGACGTGACTATCGTGTTCCAGGACGCTGTTCCATTCAATGAGCTATTGAGCAATAAACACAGGATAGTTTTGTATTGGAATTGAAACACCACGATACAAGCGTTAACTCATCTCAAAATTATTTTATTCACTTTTATTCACCGTTGACATCGATAGCTCATTGGATAGGAGGTAGGACAGTGGTCTAGAAAAAGGTAGCCTACGTACATAGTGCAAGCTTAAATTCAGCGTAGCCGGAAAAGACAAATTTAAATCGAAATTGACATTAAAAAAAATAACTCATAATTACCATTCGACATTATTTTTTTCTTGTGCAGACAACATGTTACACCGTCGCAGTAGCGTTACATTATTTGTTCCTTGTTGCCTTTCACTGGATGGCCGCAGAAGGTGTCATATTATATCTTGTCTTGGTCAAAGTGTTTCAAAGAAAGAGCGCTAGAAAGGACAAGAGAATGTTTATGATCATATGCTGGGGTGAGTAAAAGAAATGGCAACAACAATTATGTTTGCCGAACCCGAAAGAATTGCATAATGATTTTGTTTGAAATAAAGTGTAATCTTTTACAGCTAATTCAAAAAAGGGTTGTCCTTCGAAAATTGCATACTTTAAACTCTAAGCGTGCAAAGAGTGATGGGTAACTTCTTTTTAGAGCTTTTGATTGGGCAATGTAGTACAGTGCTAGTTGTACACCTTATATCATATATTCGAAAGAAGTACGTAGCTCTAAAAAAATATCGACAATGCTCGAACTGATCATAGAAAACGGAAACTACGCGAACTAAGCCAAACAATAAAATATCTAGTGAGAAGAAAACATCGTGATTACCTAGATACAATTAAGGACTCGTTTCACGATAACCCGAAACTTTTTTGCTGTTATCATAAGGCCATATTTCATCATAAATCGTCTCTCAATCCCGTCATCACCTACAAAGGCAAAGTGGCAATGACGTCTGCCGAAAAAGCTGAACTCTTTAACTCATATTTCTCTTCAGTTTTCCAATCTTCACGATCTAACCATCCTAGGAGTCATGCCATCGATTCTTCTCAATTAAAAACCGACTTACAACTTAGAGAAATAACTACCTGGCCAATCTAGACGTGACAAAAGCAAGCGGTCCTGACGATATTCCTGCGCGGCTTCTGAAAGAATGTCATCAACAAATTGCCCCAAGCCTGTGTGTCCTTTTCAACGCCTCTCTCAAATCTGGTTTTATTCCATCGGAGTGGAAATCGGCAAATCTGACCCCCATACATAAAAAAGACTCGAAAGAACCAGCAGATAACTATAGGCCAATCTCGTTATTGCCTATCGTTAGCAAGATCCTGGAACGCTGCGTTTACTCAAGATTTTATGATCATGTTGCTCACCTCATCAGTCCATCCCAACACGGCTTTCTCAGAAATAGATCCTGCGTCACTCAACTCCTGTCTGTCCTTCAGGTCATCGGACAAGATTTAGACAGAAACACTCAGACTGATGTATTGTACCTCGACTTTGCCAAGGCATTCGACTCTGTAGATCACACGATCCTCCTAGCTAAGCTTCGTTGTTACGGTGGGACTGGCTCAGCTCTTGATTGGTTTCAGTTAACTACCTTAATGATAGGACACTAAGAGTCGTTGTGGATGGTGCGACTTCGAAATGGTCTTCCGTCACTTCCGGTGTGCCTCAGGGAAGCATTCTAGGACCCTGTTGTTTGTAGTATTCATCAACGATCTATCCGACATCGTAGAAGCCCGAACCGGTACAGCTCTGTATGCAGATGGCACCAAACTGCGCAAAACCAGTACCTGTAATCGTGATTGTGCGTCTTTACAACACTCCCTATCCAATCTTAATCTCTGGACTATGGAAAACAACCTCCGCTTCAACGTCTCTAAGTGCAAAGTTCTCACCATCACCAGAAAGAAAAATCCTATCATTCATGACTGCACTCTTGGGTGCCAAAACCTGACTCGAGTAGATAGCGAAAAAGATCTTGGAATTACCACCACATCAAAACTTTCTTGGGACATTCACGCGAACACCATCGTCGCGAAGGCCAACAAAATATTAGGCGTACTTAGAAGGACTTGTACCAAATTGATGGACATGAAAGCCAGACGAACTTTATAGTTATCGTTGGTCAAGTCCCAGCTGTGTTATGCTACAGAGGTATGGTCGCCGGTAAACAGCGTCCAGATTTCAAGACGTGTTGAAAAAGTGCAAGGAAGAGCGACTAGGTGGATAACAATGACAAAGCGAGGCGAACTGTCGTACAGAGAACGGTTATTAGCATTAGATCTGCTACCGTTAACCTGTGATCGAGAAGTCAGAGACTTGGTGTATTTCTTCAAATCATTGTTTAGTTACATTGACGTCAATATCGATAACTATGTGTCGTTTGTGAGTCATGGTCGTACTAGACTGAACCATACGTCAAGATATATCCTTCAAAGTAAACTCTGTAAAACACTTTCCAGTCTTCATACTACAATCGTGTTGTAAAGATTTGGAACGCAGTGTGCCAAGAAGTCGCACCTGACATTTTCCGTAATCCAAACTCGTTTAAACACTATCTTAAACGTAGATACTCTACATTAATTAGTAATGTTTATGATGTAGACATGGCTTGTACGTGGTCATTAACTCGTGACTGTCCTTGCCACAGGACTTAATACCACAAGTAATATATATGTGTGTGTATATTTAATTAACTATATCTAAACTAATTATGGGGAGCACCTCGCATGGGATTTTTAGTGTCCCGTTTGTGCTTTTCCGTTTCAGAGTGTATCTACTAATTTGTGATTTGTGACGTGTGTTTTGTCTTTCGTTTGTCAAGTTTTTATCTTTGTACCTGATATAGTACGTATGTAGACTGCTCAATAAATTAATTAAATAAATAAATAAGTGCTTATTATCTCTCTTGCCATAGTTGCAACGTTTTAGGCCTTAAGTTAGAAGTTACCCGTCACACCTTGCACGCTTAGGGTTTAAGGTTTGAGATTTTTGAAGGACAACCTTTTTTGATACAGCTGTTTACCAAGAACGATATAGAAAATCTGTAATAAGATTTTGAAATTTATTGAATCACTCTTCCAAATGGGAAAACTTAATTATGATTGCTATTTCCTTTAATTTAATTTAAATAAAACTTATCACACACGTTTATTTAATGCCTGCATGCTCTCTCTTCAAAGCAGGGGCGGATCTAGGGGTGATCAGAGCGATCACGCGACTAAGGTAAAAATTGGCCAGAAAAGTGGAAAATTGTTAAATTAAAATAGCAGTCCAGTTATCAAACTTCGCGCAGTGTAATGTATTGAAAGTTTAACAGTCCAGTTTTGAAATATCATTCAGTAGCAAGGCCTTCGAACATGAACGCGCAGAAAAGCGGTCTTACGCATGAGTTTTGCACGCTCTGCGTCAGATTCCAGCCATCTGATTGGCTATCTCGATTTTTGCGCGATCTGTGGGAGTTCTGATCGCTAAAGCGATCAGGGGCTCGAATACAGGCTATCCGATTGGCTAATTCAAAACAATCCTGAATTCCCATTGGCTGGATTTTTTTGATCGATCATACCGTTCAGGCTTCATTAGTGCACGGAAAGGTCTATGACGTTTCTAGCCCTTTCTGATCGCTACTTAATTGTGCTTGACCGCCAATTATTAAAGTTCAATGGGAAGATTTACTATCAGAAATTCTGAACTAATACGAGCCATATCTGTTAGTATTTACGAAACTGTAAAGGCTGCTTAAGAGAATAACGATCGACAAAATGTCAAAGATATTGAAGCTGATTTAAACGAGCGATAACGGTGTACCGAAGCTTTCTATTAAACTTTATTGAGCGTTGTGAATAACATAAGCAGCCTTCCTCACACGCAATTTTGGTGCGGAATCTTACATCCTGAAGTACGTTCGAGAGAAGACAAAAATCTTTTGTAAGGCCTTAAGACAAGATGATCAGGTATAATTGGTTTCAGCCATGTTTCAGAGATACAGCATATGTCAATGTCATTACACTTCAGATCCGCATACAAAGCGGGAAGGGCATCAGGTTTTACTAGGGATCTAGCGTTTAACACTAGACAACGCGGAATTATACGTGGTAAATTTAAAGCTGTTTTATCGATTTGTACAAATTTCAGAACACGATCACGCTGGTGAGGTATCATACGAGCATGTTTTTTTCGTCTTGTAATTCTCACAGGAATTTTATTACTACGACAAGCTGACTGAGACATACAATTGGAACCATTTAAGTTCGTGTTAGCCGCATTAATTATGTTCTCGTAATTTTGCTGACTAGGTCTAGGTAATTCTCCCAGTCCGG